TCATGTGAATGTACTGTTTCCTCACATGTAAAAAGATGGATGGTGGATGCCTGTGGTATGCATAGGGTTCTACTCTTTCTGCAGAAAATTACGTGCTCCATGCAGTTACCACTTCTACTTCTTGAATTTAGCTTTATGTCATTAAAAAAAAGTTGAGTTATCATGGTTACATGTCCAGCGACAGTATACAGTCAATTTCCTCCTTGAAGAGGGATGTTTTTCTTCCCTGGGTAATCCTACCTGGGTTTGTTTTTACTTTGGTCTTTGGAACAGTCGAAACATTAGAATTTGCTGTGTAACCACTACATGTATGTCTCTCCCAGGCTTGGTCTTGCGTATGCTGGTTCAAACAGACAAGAAGTTTTGTCCTTGATTCTTCCCGTTCTTGGTGACCCAAAGTCGAACCTAGAGGTGAGATGTTTAACTACTGGTTATTTTTACATCTACTCTAAGCCTCTTTTGCTTAGTTACAATTTTTTTTTCGTTGTATAGGTGATTGGTATGGCGAGTATAGCTTGTGGCCTTGTTGCTATTGGAACATGTAATGGTGAAGTTACGTCAACCATACTTCAAACAATGATGGAGCGCTCTGAAACAGACGCCAAGGACACAAATGCTCGGAATTTAGCTCTGGGTCTCGGTTTGACATTTTTAGGTAAGGCAGTAATTTCAGAAGGCAAATTCTCCCAACGTTTGCCTCACTTTTGTTACAGTAAGTTGTCGTGATAAGAATTTGGTTCTCACGTCAACGAAGTGGTTGCGAACGCCTTTGACTGTCTGCTGGCTCTGTTTCAGGTCGTTGTTTTAAGTTTGTTTATTTTCACTGGGGAAAAAGCATTTGCATCCGTTGCCAGCATAAGAAGGGAATTTACAATTTTTCGTTTTCCAGTTTTTAGGATAAGAGAAGCTATCGGTATTTTCGTCATCGTTTCTTTTTGTAGATACTTTAAGGGTATAATTTTGTACGATTGGCTTCTTTTCGCTTCCAGGTAAACAAGAAGCTGCAGAGGCTACCCTTGAAGCTCTTAAAGTCATCCCAGAACCTCTTGCAAAGTGGGCAACAATCCTTGTTGAAATTTGTGCATATGCTGGTGAGTTGTGTATTTACAGGCGTGGATGTTGATGTTAAGTAGAACAAAATTTTCTTTGCGCAAATTATTTTAGCGAGGGCTCATTTAATCAAAGGATGTGGAAAATGTCATGGAAAGTTATAGAGCTTTAAAATTCGAAAGAGTACGAGTTGGTAGGGGTGGTATTGTTGTGGATGGTGCTCTATGGAGAAGTGTTCATTTAATTGAGAAGGTGGTAGTTCAGGGGAACAAAGAAGGAACAGCTTCACTAAACTTAAAATTGTTGTTTCGATAAGGATGACGATGACGATGATAAAAAATAAAATATCAATTTAAATCAAGGCGCACAAACTGACGTACAGTTGTACAGTTGTACAGTTCATACGTACGTTGTTAGACGCTTTTATACTGTTGTGTGCAGCTCCTAATCTTATCAAGACCTGATCTTACCTTTCATCTTGCCTGACACAAACTTTGTTTGGCTTGTATCAGGAACCGGAAATGTTCTCAAAATTCAGGAGATGTTGCACATTTGTAGTGAGCATTTTGAACAGAAAGACGACGAAGAAAAAGAAAAAGATTCCAAGGACAAAGATTCCAAGGACAAAGATAAGGATAAAAAAGAGGCAGAGAAGCCAGATGATGGCAGCCATCAGGGCGTGGCTGTATTGGGCATCGCTTTAGTTGCTATGGGGGAGGAAGTTGGCTCTCAGATGGCGCTCAGAACCATGAATCATCTGGTATGTTTAGAATTTTTACATCTTTCCGGGCGCTAATTAGTGCCTGCGTTACTTTTTCGTAGGTAATGTTATGCTGTTATTCGTAGTGTTTAAGATACATCCTGGCATTCATTTCTCTTTGCAACGGTTATAGGGATGTGCTTCAGAAAAAGTGACCTTTCAATTTTTTAACGGCCAGGCCTACATAACTTAACTTTGAAATGGTCCATTTGCTAATTTTAGTAAACAGTTAGGTCGAGGGCCTCCTGTATGGAAAGAAAAGTAAAGAAGATCACAAGTTTAATTATCGGTCATCCAATAGTGAAGTACTGAATGTGTTTGTTTTCTTACAGCTACAGTATGGTGAACCCGTGATACGCCGTGCGGTGCCATTGGCTCTTGCTATCCTATCAGCTTCCAATCCACAACTGAGTATAATCGACACTCTTAGCAAGTTGTCACATGACAATGACGCTGAAGTGTCACATAACTCCATTTTTGCCATGGGAGTTGTCGGTGCAGGTAAGCTAAAAATAAAAACATTTAAAAGAAAACTTCACGGTTTGATGTCACGTTGTTTGGCAACATTATTTTTTTCAAAGTCTGCACAAGTTTCATTAATTTTTGTTATTCATCTGTACAATAAGCCTCGCTGTAGATTCCCTATTTTGAACTGCACGTTTCTCTAAATTAACAGCAAAAAGTGTTTTGTGCAAAAGAGAAATGTTTTTCGCGAGATTGGTTTTCACACGCAATTTAAAAGGAGGCCTCTCAGGTTTTGCTCTCAAATTTGCGTCCCTTTGAAGCATCTTAGTATTGCCTTGTATTTTTCACCTACAGGTACCAACAATGCGCGACTCGCGGGAATGCTCCGTCAGTTGGCAATGTATTACCACAAGGATGCAAACAATCTGTTTATGGTGCGACTCGCACAGGTGAGTGTAAGGGTGTAATGCAGAGCTCTTCAGCAAACGAGCCTGGCTACCAACTTGATAGCAGTCTGTAGTACAGGCTTCAATTGAAGGTCATCGACGTCTGATTAAATTCTGAGCTGAAGTAGAAGGAAGGGGTCGACGGTGAATCGCAAAACGAGAAAACGTGTTTTCTTGCTTTTCGATGAACGGAATGTTCAGGATTTTTCCTTCAATTTTATTCACCCTCGTTATATTAGCCGTCTTAGGAGTGCCCTCATTAACAAAATACCATAGAAACGGCCATACGTTATTTATGTTAAACAAGAAAACCTTTATCGAGTGACAACGGAAACTAAAGAGTTTCTAAAATCTCGCTGTTTGAGACGCGATGTTAATGTTTCTTGGTTCTGATGATACTGTATCTTTGGTTGCCACGATTCGTGGAGTTAAAGGTGGCCTTTTTTGACTTGATGAGAGTTGTACAATTTTTACCGATTCAATTTTGTATAATTTTTTTTTGTCGTTGTTGTTACTTTTAGGGATTAGTCCACCTTGGTAAAGGTACACTTACACTCGGACCGTATCACTGTGATCGCTCCTTGATGATGCCTGTTGCTGTCGGTGGCTTGCTGTCTGTCCTCTTGTCGTTCTTGGATGTGAAGAATGGTATGGAAATATTTCTTTTTTCACTCAAGAAGATTTCTGACATTTCTCGCGGGCGTGGGACGAAGAAAAAAGTATGGTTTCCTGATAAGAGTACGCTCCCCAACCAATTCCGATTTCGCGATCGGTTACTTAACGAATTATGCTTAGAAGAACTCTATGATAAACTACGCCATTAAACTGGGTTTTTGACGTCTAGCAAGTTGCATTGCTTTGATGTATTGTTTGGCAGGTGATAAGTCTTTTTTTTTTTAAGTGTAGCATCATTTGTTTCTATCATGACTCTATGTTGTTTCTCTTCAGTAATTCTTGGTAAATCGCACTATGTTCTGTTTAACCTGGTATCTGCAATGCAGCCTAGAATGCTTGTCACGTTTGACACAGACCTACGTCCTTTGCCAGTCTCTGTCCGAGTTGGCCAGGTGAGATTGATCAATAGACTTTCTAATGAAGAGGATTACGGATTTTGATATTTAGCTTGTTGCTCATTACTGTTCCTTTTAATTGATTCATCCTAGCCATGTCTCGTCTCTCCTTTATCTATTGAAAGTGGTAAAAACCACCCTCATGCTACGCACATGAGAATTACAGACGTAAATTACAGATCTAGACTTGAGTCATTGGGTGTCTAAGACCATATAGCAATTTTGATGTGGTTTTTTTTTTCTATTTCATCTTTCAAAAGGCGGTCGATGTGGTTGGCCAAGCAGGGAAGCCTAAGACAATAACAGGATTTCAAACTCACACCACTCCTGTGCTGCTTGCGTATGGAGAACGAGCAGAGTTAGCCACAGAAGAATGTATCCTTTACACTTTCTACAACTAATTTGTTTTTGTCCCTGACTCAGGACGAATAGCCTGTGCGCATGCCGTCATTATCAGCGCTTCGGTACGAGCGTTTCCTCGCCCACGGGAGGTCTGCAAGGGGTCTGGGACTGATTATTAGTGCCAGACCCCCGGCAAACCCTCCCCCAATTTGTCTCAAATGTTCACGAGGGCGGAAAAAGGCGCGTCCTGCAGCGCTTACTATTAGGGGCCAGCTCGCATACTATGAGACGAAATGACGCGAGACCGCTTTCATTTTGTCCGCTCGGGCGTTACTCTTTCGGTCTAGATACGTGTTATTGAAATATTTGGCGAAACCTAGGTTTCGGCATTGTGAGTTAAACTGCTAATATTTTGCTTAACCATGGATCAGACATTTCCCTCGCGCCGATAATGGAGGGTTTTGTCATCTTGAAAAAGAATCCAGAATATGAAAAGGCAGAGAGCTAAATTGCCGAGACATGGGTGGCACGTTTGTAAATAAACTTTACAACCGGTAATAGACTGCCGAGTAACAGACCTCTTCAGTGCGACAGTGAGAGTGCTAAAACTACTGGAGAACTTTCTTACACCTTAGGAAGCAGCAAAAATATGTTAGTCAACTTCCAACAATGAAGAATGCTTTTGCAAAATAAAATCTTATTTCACCTGTGCTTTGCTGTTTCTCTTCTGTTACTGCTTCCCCACTAACCCGAAGGATTTCTTGAGGCCTTGCATTTTTTCATTCTCATTAATGAGCTTGTAGCCCAAGGGATTTCAGAATCGATTCATTAAAAAAGACAAACAAACAATAACATATGATTGGGGTTTTTAAAATATTTGGAAGCATTTTTTGTCATAGTAAGAAAAAAAAAGGCAATATCAGAAACGATACTTGGACGATTAATAAAGGTAATAGGACCGAGTGGAGTCCAGTTTGGTCTGTAATCATACGAGTGACTAACCAAATTGGACGACCGCGAAGCAGGAGTCCGATTTGTTAATCACGAGTCGAACCGAGGGAAAACATTCTCTCCAAGGAAATGACAGCAAGAGTGTAGGTGGAAGTTATACCTGTACAAATGTTAGAATCGATATAAATAATGCGTTAAAATCCCAATCAGCAAATCTTCAACAGCTAGGCTAATGGGAAGAGAGAAAGTGCGTTTTTGGCGTCTCTGTTAAAAGAGCATCCAGATGGTGAGAACGTTTCAAAACTGATCGAAGTCGCCAATACACCATCACATACAATCCCAAAGATGTTCCATGATTTAAAATTCATGATATCAGACAATCTTGTTCTTCCATAAAGGAAAAACCTCTACTTTTCAGCTAGAGATTTATTGATCATTTCTCTGGTTGTTTTCCTGACGCTTCTTGTCAGGACATCATCGCTGGTCTCACACTTTTGTTTATTCCCGCTGTTTTTCGACTTCTTAACCTTACGGTCTTTCCATGGGTTGGAACTGTCGTTCTCTACGTAACTCAGACTGGGAGTTGAGTCCTTCGAAGCCTGTGCATTATGCGTGACTAGCATATAATTGGGCTTAGCAGAATGCGCACTACTGTTTCTTCGTGTGATCACGGAATCTTGCGGAGTTTATTCCGTTAAATTTTCCAACTCATCGACAAAGTCTAGAACATCAAACACATTACCAAGCTTCAAATCTGTCTTGATGGAAGAGTAAAAGAATTCTGGACTCTGCAATCAGAGTAAAACAAAATGGACCATTATTGAATATAGTCTTGACTTCACTATCTCTGCTTGTAAAGCACTTTGCAGTCAGTTTTTTTGAGGGAATTGTCTTGATATAATGATACATTGTCCCAAAAATCATCGAATGGTTGCACAAAACCTCTGTGATTAATGTTTACTTTTAAAATAAAAGCTAGCAAGAGATTATGGAAATTAAAAATGTACTCCTTTATTGTCGAGTGTTAAAATTCAAAAGCGATCACAAGTAAATTCCGTCACGATTTGCGTGATTTGATGTTCTACTTGATCAAATGATACGATGCGTTCATACAAATCTACTGTACTTCTTCCTCATTTTAAAAAAAGCCGATTTCAAAACGGCCTCTAAAAATTAGTTTACATGTATGGAAGTACACATGTATAACTTGGCTCAATAACGTGTCCTCTGCAATTCAGGTCATAGAGATGAGAGCAATCGAGCGAAATGTTTTAAGGTCTGGGCGTGGAACACTCAATGGAGATCCCTGATTTTCTCTGTGCTGCACTCTAGTGCCAATAATGGCCTATTACTATAAAATTACGACAAAAATGGTGACTACCTCCTTTCTAAGATCGTGCAGGCGTAGTAATCTCCGACCATCAAGTCTTTGCAGCGCTTTTGAATCTAACCTGGAATTTAAAGCAGATTAAAAACCATCAGAGAACTAGAATTCCCCTGCGATGAAAAACTCAATTACTCAGCTGTCATTCTGCAGTCACCTATTCTCTAGTCCTATGGCCTTAAGCCAGGTTTTCACATCACTACATGTCCACGATCTGATGGAGGGGTGAGGCGAGGCGTCCACAACATCCTCAACCGCGGCTACAATTCGGATGGTAAAATTAGATCAATTTAGAAATATAAACAAGATTAAATCAGGTTTAAAAACCAGGGGCGTGGCTGCGAAAAGGGGTAGAGAAAGTGACACTACATTGCGTGGGGCCGGACGCGTTGACACGATCCGGTCCAGTAAAAGCCGTCTGGTCCAGCACTCACACGGCTCTTATACCTCGAACCAAATATTTTTCCGTCCGGCCCTCCCACTCAGTCAATAAGTACATAACAGTCAAGCCCCAAATAGGCGGCGTTGGATCTCCTCCCTCTCCTACTGCCAATTCTACCTGCGCCCTTGATAACAGAAATCCAAATTTTGACGGGTATTGTATTACTCTCGAAAGGCAAACATTCTCCCTCCTCCACCCGGCTACGTACAATACACATCACCTCATCCCACAAACTGCAGCATTAGAATCAGTCACATAGAACAAAAAGATATTCCGACCATATTTTTGTTTACGTATAATTGATTGATAGCATTGCTACCACCTTAATCTTCCTCGAAGACATTTGTCACAAATCAGTTGCAACTTTACTGATTCGTGATCAAATCTATTTTAAATGATAAAAAACAAGAAGACAGAATAAAAGTGAGCTTTTTGCCGAAACGAATAAAAAGAATCATATGTGCTCGGTTTGTGATTATCTGTACCTTGAACAATGGATTCCACCACCTCAATTTTTCCACGGGTTCCCAGTTCTTTCACTAGTTTGGTCACATTAGAGTCCAGTTTATGTTTCTCACTGAAGTCAATCCAGAATTTGGATCCTACAATGAAGCCGAGCCAACCATCAGGTCTGTATTTACCATCCACCATCAAAGGGATGACGTCTTTGCGTAGCTGATATGTGTACTCTGCCTCTAAATAAGTTCGACAAAATAAAATATTCAAATGCTATCAGAATCTAATTAAGGTAACGTATCGTATTGAAGAATGTGCAGAGAAACAACAGCTGAGTGGAAAATTTGATCCAATACATTAGTCTTACGAGTCATTTTTCTGTCGAGCTGTAAGTCATATCAACACTTAAAACTATTTAACTACCAATACTTCTTCCAGGACTTTACAGTTTTGTTGATGGACATCTTAGGATTTATATTTGGAACTAGATTTATGCTACCATGCGAATTTTCAGGTACAGATCATTTAAGCCCAAGGTTTCTTGTTTTTGTCAATATCCTTAAACGAAGTTAGAAATTGACTTCCAAAATTTCATCACCTGATCTACAGTTAGGACTCTCCTTGTATTTCTGAGACACACACACCAACACCACACTTGCATTTTCCACAGCCCTGGCCATACTTTCTAGAGTAGAGCCACCCATCTCATCGATGTCCATCCAAACCTTGAAGCCACCCGCTTCAAGTTTGTTTTTGATCTGAACCACGAGTTTTTGTACATCCCATTGGTAACTGATCATAACGTGCTTGGCGTCTGCAGAAATATACAATGAAGACTAAATTATGCAGAAACAGGTACGACCAAGGTAGACCACAATACAGGTGACATTTTTTTTTTGCCCTTTTCGGGCGAGTGGAGAAGGTGGAAGGCAAGAGCTAGAGGAGCGCAATGGGTGAGTCGCACGCAAGACGAAGACCGTGTATGCCTAACGTTTATTTTTTTCTTTTATTGTTTACTGTTTATATAACGGAACTTTCGCGGGGGCGGTCCGTAGCTTATCAGTTTCAGCAGATCATGAACACCCTTGAAAGATAAAGAATGGATCCTTGCACAATTGAGTTAGGAGATGGACAATATGAAGGCGAGAGAGGCAATGTGATCCAGTACCTTGGGTGCTAGACACAAGTTAGAGCCCTCTATCCTGCTACTCAAGGGGCTGTCGTTGTCATGATTACAAGTCCATATTCTTATTTGTGCTCTGGGAACTGCTGACTGACTTTACACAGTACTCTTTCCCAGCTGGAATTTGCAAACATGCTTACTTTGAGGCTAGAGGGAAAAAATTTCCTTCAAGGGCATGCTTCGCCTTCAAGCTTATTGTGTCCCAGTTTTTGTCCAATTCATACATTTTTTAGTAACTTGATAGTGAAGTAGTGCTGTCAGTAACTGTAAATAGACTCTACAGATGTTTGCTTAGCAACAAGGGTAAATTTTGTGAGAAAGAAACAGGAAATCAACAGTACAAAGCTGACTTATGAAGGACTTTCACTAAGCAATCCTGCAAAATACTTAGCATGCACATTGTGCACACGTACCTGTTATCTGTTGCAATCCAACTTTCTGCTTTTTTTCCTCTGCATATCTTTCTTTCCCATTGCATTCCCATAGTGCACCAGCAGCAGCTCGCTGTATTTCAATGTTCTCATCAGTAAGAAGTTTCTCAAGTTCACTTATGGCCTGTTCATTGGCTTTAATTTCCATCTGATTTTCCTCATCAAATGCCAAGGTCCAAAACGCATTGCATGCATTGAGTTTCTCCTCATTATCTTTTGCAGTTTGGAGCATCCTTACAAGAATTTGAATGGCGCCACATTTAGCAATCTGAAATAGATAAAGAGATTCAACCCCACAAACACATGGTGCCCAGAGGTTCCTCTTTGGGATGCTTTGACCATGAAGATCATGCTCTATAACCAAGCTAATTAACACTTTTATACCTTACACTGCCTCTGACCCATAAATAACTCTATTCAGTCTTCTAAAGGTAATACACACTTTCTACACCTTCATTGCAAAATTCCTATCCTTTCATAAACATCTGACTAGCTCAAAAACAAACAGAGAATTTCACACAGTGGAAACTGTACCCCTGGCCTATAAGACAGGTACAAATCTGCAAGAGGCCAGATGCACTTAGGCCCTAGTTAGACTCTTATACATACTGCTGGCCTGAAATGGTATCATTTTACAATCATGCAGTCATATTACAGCTCCCATCCCCAAAAGATGTCAGGTTATAGTTTTGTATGCATTGCTTGCATTGCACTTGCTAGCAAATGAAGTTGATCTTTCCTTCCCTGTCTGCATTTTTGGTGAGCAATAAACAATCAAAACAAGATAATAATCCCATCTTATTACCATTTTCTTGTTGTTATCATTGACTGCAATTTGTGTCAATCCTTCGGCAAGCTCTGATGAAGAGAAGCCTATACATCTATGATTTGAATACGACAAAGACATCTTTAGCAAGTTTGTAAGAAGTTTGATAGGACCTGAAAGGTGAAATTCAAAAGATGAAATTTTAAAATAATTAAATCACAAGATATTTAACAAAACATCTTTGTTATAACACCATTTAATTTGAATTATCACTTGCAGTGAGATTTTGAGGTGTTACCATGATCATAAATCATAACATTGAAACTAATCTGCTGTTAACAAATATAATAATGGAAGCTACATAACAATTTAATTTAACACTTTAAGTCACTTTCAAAACAAAATGATATCACTTTAAGCATAAATTTAATAATTAGCTGCCTATAGCCGTTCAACAAATTTGGTTTTCAAAGAGTGAAATTCATTTAAAGTCTCAGCTCCCATTAAAGCTGATGCCAAAATATTTCTGTGAATTTTACCTTCATCTGCCATGATCATGTGATTGTTACTTTCATCAATTAAATAAGCCAAAATAAGCAGACATTTGGCACCAAAAAGAGCCACTTCAGCCTTAAGAAGAGGAATGAGTGTATCTAATGCCTGACAAGCAGCAAAGTTCACCCTGGTAGGTACACGTTTAGACAAGTTATGAAGCACTCCTAAGATCCTTGAAAGCATTCTGCCTCGTACTGTGAAATTTTTTATATGCTGTGTTTGGGGATTCTGTTAATTCAAGATTGTAAAACATTAACAGCAATAAACATCACTGAATATTAGATACAGTAGAACATCACTAACTTGAACTCCCAAGAAATGGTTAGCATCAGTACAGGTTTAAGTCAACTGATGGTAAATGAATGGGAAAATGGGGTGAAGGGAAATCAGATCTTGTTCGAGTTATCATGGTATTTGAGTTAACCAAATTCAAGTGAGAGGGGTTCCACAGTATGATAATAAAAAAGAAAAAAACTAAAGAAATCATAAATGATTATAATAATAATAATAATAATAATAATAATAATAATGGTAATAATTATAATTATAGTAACACAGCTGTCAAGGAAAAAGAAGAGAAAAGTGTAAATAAATATCAGGACCCTGAGAGAGAGACCAAGTAGATGTGGAGATAAAGTCTGAACTGGTGTAACATTCCATTCATATTAGGGGCATAGTAAACAGTCCCAAGAAATGGAATCTTAGGAGTATTGATGTGGACACTCAACTGAACTTCACACAAATTACTTTCAGTGGAGCTGTAGTTATAATCTTTAAAAATATCATAGAGCATTAAATGACAAGCTGAAGAGTGGCCTTTTTTCATTTTTTAAAAATTGGCCATTTGAGGTTTAAAATCAAATTCGTTACAAAGAGGCAGGGGGGAGGAGAGGGTATCCAAAGAAAATGAAGTATGAAGTAAGGATCTACGTACCACAAATTTTACATTGTGAGAAATTGCATCTTTGAGTTCTTTTGTCATCTCAACAAAAATTTGGACCATGCCAACATTGCTGCAAGCTACACAGAATTGATCATGAAGGTCTGAGAAATTCAAAAGCACTCCCACTAGCTTGGTAATGATATCTTGGCACAAGCTCAGTGATTCTTTCTGGTTGTCATCATCTTTAGCCTCCTTGAAAATATAAAATCAATAAAAATTACTTTTGATAAACTTTCTCAGTTAGGGTGACGATATAAATCAGTTGTAATCCAGTTGCAAGACGCAAGAATAAAATCTCATCTAAATTCTTAGCTATGTTTTCCTTGATTTAGTTCAAATCATCGTTTGTTTCCCATACTTCGATTGGTTAATTTTGTTCAAGAGACCCCTGAAATAGTTCTACCTCTGTAGTAAGCAAGACACTTTCCATCACACTAAGCTGTGTGTAGCAATAGGTAGATACAGATATCAAACGAACGAGGCTTATGAGTATTTGCAAACTACGTACCTTAACTTGCTTGTCAGCACTTGTCATCTCATTTACTGTCCCCTGCACAGTGATAACATTTTGCCTCTCCCTGTCCCAAGAGGTAAGCTCTTCGTAATTTATTCTGCATTGAACAATTATTTCATAGGCAAATTCGGGAAATCCCAAAGCCGTAACAAAATCAGATAATAACACCCTATCGCTTGGATTCTTGATTTGGACGTAGCTTTCGTGCAAGCCTTGTGCAAGTGTTAACGTGGTTGGAGAGATAAATATTCCATCATTTTGAGCTGCCTGCAAGGCCTGAAAATTTTCCGTAGTTACTGTGAAAATCGGACACATCTCTGGATGTTTCTCGCTGAACAAAGCCAATGTCAAGCTCGGATCGAGATTATCGTGCGCATCTGCAGTTTGCGTGTTTATGTTCGCTCCGGCTTCACCTTTTGCATCGAATGAAGTTTGTTGAACGCGAAAATTGACGTCAACGGAGTTTCCCGTTCCAACTTCAGCCATATTGGTGTGATTTATCCTTGTAGAGCTTCCTGACCCCATCAATCAATAACCACACGAGGTTTACATAGTAAACCAACAAAATGTCAGATGAGCACAATATCACATCATAGCAGGAGCCTATCACATCACCAAGTAATAGGCTCCTGATCTTAGCAACAAACTTGCTCAGGCGAGGGCAACAAGCACTCATCTTGATAGATTCAGAGGGAGGGGAGGGAGGAAAGGCCTATGAAAGACCTATCAAGAAAAGGGTATGGTGGGAGGGGAGGGGGGGGAAAGAAGGCAAGAAAATGGGTCTTAATGTAGCCTGCGTTGCTGGCGGTCTGCGGTTTTGGGCCCCCCAGACCGCGGGTGGGTGGGTTTCTCGTAGATTATGGAAAAAAATACATGCCCACGGACTGACAAAAGCTGCTCAAGGACAAATAAAACAAACAAACGAATAAGATTTTCTCCCTAAATGCAGAGAGCAAAATTCTTGCATCTTCTATAACTTTTCTAATGGTCCATCAAGAAAAAACACATCGCCTCTCTCTATTGTACACTCAGTATGAAAGGACGTACTTATTTTTAAACTCAACAATTTAGTTTTGGAGATTTGTAGTAAAACTTGTAACTTAAAAAATAACCTGTTTGTATGTCAAAAACGCACAGGTTGCTTAAATAGTAAATTTGACTAAAAAATAACACTGGGATAAATAATTGACAATTGTAAATAATAAATACATATCACTGAAAAGCAGCCTAGTCCACCTATCATAACGACGTTAATACATATATTTTTTCTTTTTCCCAGAAAATTCAGTGAAAAAATAAATTAAAAATAAGAGAATTCTGGCTTGTGCTGAGTGCGCTAAGGCGACGGGTCAGGCAAAGAAAAAAAATCGACGTTCTGCAATCGTTTCCTTCTGCAATTGTGTAACCTTATCCCTATTGTCCAAAAATGTTATAGCAGAAACAACACGTTTGCCTCAGCGTAGCTCGAGCTACGGTTGCTTCCTTCTAAAGGCTTCATGGCGTGATGTTTGCAGAATTCATCAAATTTACGGAGTGCAGAAATTTGAGTGTCAGTTTTGACAAAAGAAGTGTCCTCGTTTTGTTTTCTCTCTTTCTGTATTTATCCATTTATTCAGCATCATAACTATACTTATATTTTGGCAATTCCGCATCTTTAGTCAACTTCTGCACCCGTGACATTTTTCTCTTGAATAAGTGCTTGCTTGGTTGGACAAGACACGAAACATTTCTTACTTTATGTAATTGTTTGATTAGGGTTTTCCCGCGAGTTTAACGACCAATCACCGCCCCAAATTCTCGGGTCAACACTTATGGCGCGGTGCACTCGATTGGAGAGGTCCCATAGCTAAACTGTGCGACCGAAACATAGTCGGGGTTCAGACTTCTTGCACAACATCAACTATCAGTCAGAAAAGGTATTTATGACGATCTATGATGTATTAGTCGCAGACACATTACTCCATGGGTAAATCTCCTGTAAACAGAAGCATGTCGACAGCAAATCTATGCATCCAGTTTTTCCAGTGCATCTGTGAACTTTAACAAATCAAATAAACTTTCCAGTTTGAACTCTGCTTTAACTGATGCGTAAAAGAAATCCGGGCTTGTCTGCAACAAAGAGAAAACTTCGCAGTGAGAAAATAGAATTAGAGTCCTATCTTGTGCAACTGCGTTGCGGTAGGCTGCATACAAATCGAAAATGTACTCTACAGAGCAAGAGAAAAGAAATGAAACTAATCCAAAAAGAAAGTTTGCATTACAATATCAGAACTTGTTGTCAAACAAGGGAAGACATTCCCTTAAGAAGCGCTTTTCGATTTAGTATCGTAAATTAAAACTAGATTTATCACAATGGCTGATCAAGCTCGAAGATGACCTTCAAAGCTTGAGAGAACTGAAAGAAAGTATACCTAATGAACAGAAGTAACCAAGGGGTAGTTGGTTCAGTTTTGCATCTGATTGGTTAAGTGTTCTGCACCCGTGTTCAAGTGTTCTGGACCAATCAGGAAGCATAATGAGGCAGAAACCAACGCTGTCCCCGATTACTTTCGATATGGCTCTTTACTGAATCCTATGAAATTTAAACGTGTGATGGCACAACAAAAAACCCGGACGCGACTCTTTTCAGTGCGACGTGTTTGCTTACGAAAAGGAAATCCGCAGTGGATTTGCCACGAGTGAACTCAGGAACATGTCCGTTCACTCTGACGAAGGGCTAACGCTCGAAACGTCATCTTCCAACTCTTTACGGTGGCCAATTTACGTTGTCAACTCAATTAATACCAAAATTACCACAGTTTATTTAGAAACTTATCCCCTTCATACATGTACATTTTCCCTTGGTTACTCAAGTTTCTTTAGAGAGAAGTGCGTCGTGTGGACATAACTTATTTTCATCAGTTGCAGGAGAGGTTGCGTTTTATTAGTTCTTTACCTCGTTTACTGAGGCTTTCATTATCTTATCACTAGATGGCGTATATTCAGACCAGAAGAACAGATAAAAGGACACACCTCTTTTCTGAGACCTTGAAGACGAAGCAACATCTGACCATCTAGTCGCTGGACAGCCTTTGGATCCAATCTGCGAGATTAATTGAAAGAAAGAAATTAAAATTGAAAGAAGATTCAGAAACGAAGTATTAATCAGAAGCACGCTTCACTTCACTCTAACTCAGCAGAAAACTTCCAAACAACCCTAACAGCTGACGCACTTAAATTGCCTATCGACAAGAGTACATTAGATTTGGGATTTCGACGGTCGGCAGGAGGTTGATAGTGCGCTAGTGGTTTCATTTTTATATTTTTGCTTTTATTTATCGCTTTTTTCATAGTTGGCCTTTGACAAAACATGCAGTCCTAATTCCTTAGTGCAAATTCTTGAATACAAAAAGCCGGGATTCCATTCATTCCAAGATTCATTCAATGAAGCTCGAAAGTTTTTTACTTTGAAGTCGCACTAACAAGCAGGCGACAAACTCATCAGCCCCAGAGCTGTAAGTGAAAAAAAAAACTATTTTGTAATTCAGAAGCTGACCTGTTTTCCAGTCCAACATCATTGAGCCACTTTTTAACATCGCCACATGTCCACGATTTGATGGAGGTCTGGGGCGAGGCATCAACACTATCCGCAATCGCGACTGTCATAAAATAAGAGTTAAATCATTACGACTAGCAATCAAATGATTGTTTGTGAGCATAGATAACCATAATAAGGGTCCTAATCAATCCAAAGGAAAAAGGATACAAAAGGTCTATATTGAAAATGATATACTTGAAAATAAATTATTTAATTTATTAAAATTTGAGAAAAATGTCGGCTACATTGTCAGCCTCCCTCACCTTTCCTCGCATCCCCTTCCTTTCCCCCCCTCCCCTTCCTTGATAAACGTTAATTTTTTAGCCACCACTAATTGGTTTTGTGATACTTTCCCTATTTCATCAGTCCGCTTTTCCAAAGCAGTTTTGACAATACATGTACACTAGTTTGGAGTTATTCCCTCTCGTTTCCAGTCCCTGTCTTCCAGATTAACGCCCACACCACTATACCTGGTTTAATTCCTGTGCCTTGACCAATAGGTTCCTGCGGCTCAAATTTTCCTCTATTCCCCAGTTCCCTTATGAGTGTGTCCAGGCTAGAGTCCAGTTTATGTTTCTCACTAAAGTCAATCCAGAATTTGGATCCCACAATGAAGCCGAGCCAACCATCAGGTCTGTATTTACCATCCATCATCAGAGGGATGACATCTTTGTGTAGCTGATATGTGTATTCTGCCTCTAAATAAGTTCGACAAAATAAAAATATTCATATGTTATCAAAATATTACTAAGGTAACGTATCGTATTAAAGAATGAGCAAAGAAACAACAGCTGAGTGGAAAATTTGATCCAACACATCAATCTATTTACCATGATACCGTGATGCTTTGGCATTCCGGGGGCGAGATGACAATTCTCTTTTTCACAACTTAAGAAATAGGTTATTATTCTAGATAATAGTTTCTAATGACAGCCTCACAAGAAGAATCATGAGTTGACTTCCAAAATTTCATTACCTGATCTACAGTTAGGACTCTCCTTGTATTTCTGAGACACACAGACTAATATCACACTTGCATTTTCCACAGCCCTGGCCATACTTTCCAGAGTAGAGCCACCCATTTCATCGATGTCCATCCAAACCTTGAAGCCGTCCGCCTGAAGTTTGTTTTTGATCTGAATCACGAGTTTTTGTACATCCCATTGGTAACTGATCATCACGTGCTTCGCTTCTAGAAAATTTAAAACGAAATTACAAAAAAGTCATAATTTACCACAAATAGGTACTCTTATCATTCAGATATTACTGAGGTTTCCTTAATGGGCAGGACTATTGTTTTCAGTAGACCTAAGAGTATTGATTGGCTTAGCCACACAACAACACCCAGTTTAATGTGACAAAGAAAAGTTAGAATCTTTAAGTGCGCTCATAAAATGACAGTTACATAAAAAAGAATGCTGTTAGTATAGGTATACACATGCTATAGTATAGGTTCAGGACTGTTTTTGTATTTCAGCGTGAGAAAGGCTGGTGAAACTTACATCATTTGTGAAGCTATAGCAGAGACTGACTGTTTGGGCGAATACGAACCTGATATTTGCTCCAATGTGACTGTTTGCTGTTTCTCTTCAGCGTGTTTTTCTTTGCCTTCGCATTCCCACAATGCACCAGCGGCAGCCCTCTTTATCTCACTATCCTCACTTGTGGTCAGAAGTTTGCGCAGCTCAAAAAGTGCGTAATCATCACTCCTAATCATCTGCCTATTTTCCTCGTCAAAAGCTAACGTCCAAAGTGTATTACAAGCATTCAGTCTCTCCTCATTCCCCTTTGCATTTTGAAGCATTTTAACCAGGATTGGAACAGCTTCGCATTGGCCAATCTAGAGCACGGATGGAGATGTACAGTTTATCTTATTAGGAATTAACACCAACTCGAATTTTAAAGGCGTGCACATGCTTTCCCTGAATGTTTTCAAGTTAAGCCATACCGAGGCAAGAGTTGAAATAACTTTTTCCCTAAGCGGCTACCGATGGTGTTGTATATACCGATGACGACTGTGCCCGAAAAGGGGCTTT